TAACATTGAACCATAAGATGCATTTTGAAGTTTTCTGGCAGCATTTTCATTCGATTTTCGCGAAGAAAAGCCTTGAATGCACTAAATGAGCGCTCGATGTAAGTTGATACAAGTGGAGCCCAAGGGCGTTTTCCTCGCCCTTTACAATTTTATACACACCCCTTATTGTCTTTAAGCCTACGTTAGCTGAGAAAACGGCTTTGAATTTTTCCAACACCAATTTTGAAAGAGGTCCCTGCGCTTCTATAAGCCGCATGGGCATGTGTATATTTTTTAATCTTAAAAAAAAATTTGAAATGCTATAATCACTATTTTAAACNCTGCAAAACCTGCAAATCGTAGACGTGCTGGAACGCTCTAATTGATTGTATCGAATCAGTTGTATTAGATATGAGGGTAGAAGTATTAGCAAGCGAAGAAATTTCGCCACTCCCTAATGTAGATGTTCTACTCTCACCAGACCTCTATGCATCGAAAACTTCACCACGCTGCAGCACTTTATTTGTTTTGTTTATTGTTTGCTGATTTCCACCCATCTACGGGGCAACAGAGGCGTATGATATACACATTTCACCCGNGCAGAAAAAAAGGCAATTTCCATAAAATCCGTTCCCTGGTAATTATACTTAGAAAACTCCGCGTAGAACAATTGAGAATGGCGTAGGTTACGAAAAGGGACATTGAACGCTATTTTTTCTAAAAGGGTTGGGCAGTCAACGGAGCTGTTCATAACATTTGCAACAAAAGAGCAAGCGAGAAATNCCCGTTCCATTATTTCTTGAGGAAAGAGTGAGGCAACAGGCTGTGAGGTATCAAAAATGTCAAAATTCCTTGGACACACACGCGAAATAATGGCAATTTTTTCTTGACCGTTTTCTTGAGAGCTGCATACAGGGCTGTAGCAATGGCGTTAGTTGACGTCGACGCCGACGCTGTAACACTANCGGAGCTGTTCATAACATTTGCAACAAAAGAGCAAGCGAGAAATGCAAACCTGTGATTCAAGGGCTTTAAAGCCAAAAGCGATAGTATAGGTTCACTGAAATTCAGTGAGCGAAGAGCCGATTTGATGAAAACCTTTTGAATTCGCTCTATTCGGCTTATATGCGAGGCAATGTATGGTCTCCAAATAAAACAAGCATAGTCAAGTCTAGATCTTACAACTTCAGTGTGTACGGGTCCGTAAACGCCGAGCTGTTGCGACGGACAAAAGCCNATTGATTGATTACACAGTCCGAAAAATTTTAACTTTTTTTGCCACCTGAGAGTTCATCGGTTTTTAGATTTTTCGGTCCTGAATCCAAATCTGGCTGCAGAATTTCTCTACCACGTCAGAATTTTGATACATCCTAACCTCTAAGTGTAAAACCACGGTTTATTATAAAACAACAATTTTTCCGCTCATTTCTACTTAGGGTAANATATGATAGCACGTTGAGATAGGAGTTTGCTTTCTCGTAAAGGAAGAGTAAGAACATTTAGCGAGCGCACCAAGACTNCAATTTTTCCGCTCATTTCTACTTAGGGTAACATTAAGTATTACTCTTCCCCTTCAAAGTTCAATTTCGTTTGTTGCGATTCGATTGTTCTTTCTCCA